TCCGGGCTGCTGCTTCCTGAGCTCTGCTGATGTGGAGGGGCCCAGAGCTCACAACAGCCCAAGGCCAGCAATTGGCAACATTTCCCAGGCCTCTGAGAATTCTCTGCCTCTGCCCCCCACCCGCTTCCTGCGGAGTGATAAAAAGCAATCTGAGGCCTTGAGAAGTTGGACACCTGCTTATCTAACCCTTTCTTCTTGAGAACCAGCTCCGGGCTGCATCTTCCCAATGGGCTGCTTCTTCCTGATAGACTTTTTCTCCCTGATAGGATACCCTGAGCTCACTGAGAGCCTCCCCTCCCCAACTTCCCGATAAAAGACTGTGCTCGACCCCTAAGGGGGGCCAGAGATTCTGAGTGTTAACTCCTCCGCGCCCACCAGCGTGTAAAGACTTACTCCTATCTGCAACGTTGTGCCCTGTGCAACTCACTGCCCCTCCCTGACTCTGTGAGTTTGTCCATAAAGTGCAGGTAGTACTAATAGCTCTAGGGAGCATAAAAGATGCACTTACTAGTTTTCACTAACTGTCAGGCTGTCCGGAAAGTCATGACACATTTTTGCATAGAAAGACAGAAAAACACAGCGTGACTTTCCAGACAACTTAGTAGTAATTGTTAGTCAGCTAAGGGAGTTGAACTTGTTCTGTAGCTTGGAGCTTTTCACACTTTTCCTTGGAGTGAGGCCATATAATGTCATGGTAGTTAGAAGCATGGATTCTGCATGCAGCCAGATGGGCTACAGACTGGCCCTGGGGACTTGGTGTCTGCCTCTACTCTAGCCAGGAAAATGGGAAGGTGAATCATAGTGATCTCGTAGGAGTCCACGAGAATTAAATGAGTTGATACATGTTGGGCATAGACAGTGCCACGAACATGGTAAGCACTGTATGATCTCACCCGGCAGTGAGCCAGGCTAATGATGTTCAAGGGGAAGGAAGAGGATGAGACCTCCAAGACCTTGGGCATGCCCAGCCTGCCTGTCTAACATAACTTCGGTTGACTAGCTTACAGTCGGGTTTCATAGTCCGCTTCGCTGTGCGAGCACGGGTTGACCAGCTCATTTGTTCATTCTAGGTATATTTGATTGAGTGCCTTTATAGGGCGAGAAGCATCTCTCCACAGGTAGGCGGCACGGTGGAGACAAGTCACACGGTTCTCTGCTCTCGGGTGCCTTTCAATCTAGTGCCTGGGCTTCGTTTCAAAATGAACTGATTCGAGCTGCCTACCCCTGTGTGCAGGGAAAGGGCCGATGCCAGGAAGCTGTGTCTTGCTGTCATATGGCTGGGCTGACCACTGGCCCAGGCCACCGGGCCCCGTGGGACAGGCTGCTGGCTGGTGGGAATGCAGTTCTTGCTCGAGTGCCAGCCCTGGCCCTTCCCTGGCCTCAGGTGACCCAGGCTCTAACTCCACGTCCTTCCGTGACTCACTGCTCCAGTTCAGTCCTTGTCCTGCTTTCTCATAGTCTTGCTGAGGAAGGTCCCTGAGCACTCTGGTTCTCCTGCTTCTGATGCAATGAGAACAAGGTTACTCTCTTGTCGATACACTTTGGGCACAGGAATGGTGCAGTTCTGGTCCATTTCCAGTGCCTATTTAGAAATGATTTCCTATTGGGCTGACTGTGTGGCCTGGTGGTTGAGGCAGCCAGATCCCACAGGGCCGATCGTGCAGTTGGAGTCCTGGACAAAATGGCTTCAGAAACAGGCCAGGCATGCATGTGTGCATGTGCGTGCTCCAAATCCTGAAAGGAGCAAGAGAAGGAGGAGAAGAGATTGTGGCCTGGCCACTCCCCATGAGGGGTGCTTTCTTCTCTCCTTCTCTATGTCTGGAGAGCATGCATGCCTTCTGGCAAAAAAGGGAAGAAAGAAAGAGAGAGAAAAAGAAAGAGAGAATCCATTGTCTCAATAGTACGGTCAGCTCCACTGTGGCCATGGTAGCCAGTGTGGTCGGTAGCAAGCCTGCACCTTTAAAGGGCAGACCCCAGGTCTCCAGATTGTGTGTTTTGGTCTCCACTCTTGCAGCTTACAAAGCAGAGAGCATGTGGTGAATGTTTTGCCATTAAAATTGCCCAATGTTGTTGTTGATTTTAAAGTTAAATGCTACTCCCATGCAAGTACATGTGCTAATATTCCCCAAACCAACAAGAAAGCACTTTGATCTAAGCCTCGGGGGTTGGCAAGATAAGAAATAATCGGGGCTCCATTTGTCCTCAGGCCCCGAGTGTGTGTCATCACTGAAGCTCCTATTTATTGAACACTACATGGCAGGCATTGTGCTAAACGCTTCATATACATTCTCTTACTTAATCCATTTCACACAAGAGACTTAAGAAATAGGTGTTAACACCATTTTGCAGATAAGCAAATAGCTGTTAAACAGCTTTTTCAAGGCCTCACAGCTGGAGTGTATTGGATTTGGGATCCATAGCTGTTTCTTGTTTCTCGACAGCTCCAAAGCCCTGCATTTTCAAACACAGAGAAACTCTACTTTCTGTTTTACCCCCCACTACACTTTGGTATCCAATCTGCAAATTCCTTCGCCCTTTTCTCAGGAGCTTTATTTCTTGGGCTGGGTAAGGGGGCGACTAACTGGATGACCTATTTCTTCTTAAATACCGTCTTTTCCCATGACCCAATGCCACCTGACCACTCTTCCCTGCCCCAGCTCCCAAAAGGGCTTCCCATGCTACTGACCCAAAGTGGCACCTGGCAAAATAATTTAGCTCTTGCAGTATTGGAAGCTGACATGTTAATGCAAAGCCTCCTGAAATATTACTCATTATTATGCATTTTGCCAGCATTTGAGTGATTTGTGAACTCTTCATTGGAATAAAGTACTGTAAATGATTCATGAATGACCAAGTTTATGAAATTCTATAAAAATATTAGCAGGTGGTAATGATTCCCTCACACTGTGAATATAATCTGCTGGCTGCAAATTTGTCAATATGGAAGGACAGGAGTGGAATGGGAGACACAGTCTGATAGGCAGGTGGGGGGCCAGATGGAGGGTAGGGGCTGGCTCCCAAGGGGTGTGAGACAGAACAGGAAGCAGGACCATGTGGTGGGCAGGAGCCATTGGCAAGAGACCTTTGGCCTCGTCGATTGTCCACAGGAGATGACGCACAGGTACCTGGGAAGGTCGGCATTGGATTATACTAGGGAGGAGCATTTGGAAGGAGAGCCAGGACCAGCATTTACTGAGCACCTATTTAGAGCCTGTGAACTCCACTCACAAGCCTATGAATGTAGTGAGTTATCTTGTCTTAGCTGAGGGCCAACAGGGCTCCCGAGATGTGTTGTTATTAAAGTGGGCGCCCACATTTATTGAGTATTCATAACATGCTGAGGCCGTGGGCTAAATACTTACGCGACGGCCTCATTTAACCTTCATGAACACGCGCCTGACACCGTTACCATGCCCAGTTATAGGACAGGTAACTGCAGCCACCTGTGTTGCTGGCTGCAGACCACGGTTGGGACCTCACCATCTTCTGAAGATTAGTTCCCATTTCTGCCATAGGACTTTCTCTCCTTCGAGCCAATTTCTTGGTCCAGTTTTGACTTTGTGGTTAAAAATGTCATAAAACTGGAATACACCTGGTCCCCTTGTGTGTGTGTATGTGCTTATATATACATATATATGTGTGTGTATATATATATATATATTT